TTAAAGTGAAAGTCCCCCCAAAAAAAAAAAAAAAAAAAACCCGGGCTCCGGGTGGCTCCTGTGTGGCCCCTGAGCTGCGGCTGTAACTTTTCACCCATCACATCCCCTCCCCATGCCTCAGTTTCCTCATTTGCAAGCTGCAGCTTCCAACCAAGGAGGCCCTGGGCCACGTTACGGAATTTGCAAAACTCTCACGTGTCCTTAGTTTGCTTGTGGCCCCTAGGGAATTGAGGAGGCTGAGGCCAAGAGGAGGGAGGTGACTCGCCCGGGTCGTGTGGCTCATAAGAGGCACAGCCAGGCTCAGTCCTCCTCCCTCCCCAGCCGGTGTGCTTTGACCAGGCCCTGAGCCTCGGTGAGCTCAGGTGACCAATGCCACATACTCTCGAAGGTCAAAAGGCCGTCAAGTTGATGGCCAGCAGACGAGGTTATCTTCCTAAACTACTTGGCGACAACTGGCATAAAGGGATGAGAGCTTTGTCACGAACTCTGTGCCACTCAGCGAGAAAGCCTGGGCTTGGAGTCCAGACGGACCTGAGTTCCCTGCCGAGGCCCTGGGTGGGCCCCCACTATTTCAGGTCCTGGGAGCTAATCAGCCACATGTGGGTGCAGGAGTGGGAAAGCGCTTCCTTCTAGTCTGTCCCAGGTCACCTTGTCACTGCCCCCTCCTCCCCTCCCAACAGAGACTGGACCTGGGCGGGAGTGAGCGGAGCCGCGGCGTGATGGTGGCCTTGAAGCTTGCCCACCCGTACAACAAGCTCTGGAGCCTGGGCCAGGATGACATGGCCCTCCCCAACAAGGCCACAGCCACCTCCCCTGAGAAGTCCTCAGTCCTGCTTGGGAACTCCCCGGCCCTGCCCTGCAGGCCCCAGAACCGGGACAGCATCGTGAACCCCAGCGACAAGGAGGAGGCGCCCACCCCCACCCCCGGCAGCATCACCATCCCCCGGCCCCAGGGCAGGAAGACCCCAGAGCTGGGCATCGTGCCTCCACCACCCACCGCCCGCCCAGCCAAGCTCCAGGCACCTAGCGCTAACCTCGCCGACTTCTCAGACCGGCAGCTGATGGATAAGGAGCAGCGCGCCACCCTGAGCCCAGCCCCATTCCCTGGGCTCCTCTCCAGTGCTGCCCCCAAAGGTCCCACTGAACTGCTGCAGCCCCTCAGCCCAGCCCCTGGCATTCCAAGCGTGGGCGATGATGCCCTGCTTGCCCTCCTGGACCCACTCAGCACAGCCTGGCCGGGCAGCGCCCTCCCACCACGCCCTGCGGCCCCCGGTGTGCCGCCCCCACTTACCGCCCAGTTCAGCTTCCCCCCCGCGGGGGCCTCTTGCCCGTTCCCACAGCCACCACTCAACCCCTTTGTCCCGGCTGTGCCAGCACCACCTGCCCTGCCCCTGGGCTCCGCACCCGCCGGCCATTTTGGGGCACCTCCTGCTTCCCGGGGACCAGCTTTCATGCCCAGCTTCCTGCTGTCCAGTTCTGGCTTCTGTGCCCCTCACAGATCTCAGCCCAGCCTGTCTGCCCTCTCTATGCCCAACCTCTTTGGCCAGATGCCCATGGGCACCCATACCAGTCCCTTGCAGCCGCTGGGTCCCCCAGCTGTTGCGCCTTCACGGATCCGAACATTGCCCCTTGCCCGCTCAAGCGCCAGGGCTGCTGAGGCCAAGCAGGGGCTGGCCTTGCGACCTGGAGACGCCCCACTCCTGCCGCCCAGACCCCCCCAGGGCCTGGAGCCAGCACTGCAGCCTTCTGATCCTCGGCAGACCAGAGACCCCTTTGAGGATCTGCTGCAGAAAACCAAGCAGGAGGTGAGCCCGGCGCCGGCCCCTGGCTCGGTGGAACAGCTCAGACAGCGGTGGGAGACCTTCGAGTGAGCCGGCAGATGGCGGGGGCCAGCCAGACAAGCCTACATCCATGGCTCCAAGGCCAGCCAGCACCTGGCACCCATCT